GAACGTAACGTACCGACTACCACCTAACTAAACGTAAACTAACTACAACGAAACCAAACTAAATAAGTACGACGTACCGTACGTGTGGTCGTAGTAGTTAGGTAGTATAGTATATATATATATATATATATATATATATATGGGAGAAGTTGATTGAGTTTTGATTCTCTTCTCACAGTAATTACTTTAAGGCCCCATCACTTACCAAGAGAGGATTTGTTTGCAGTTTCAATAGTCATCATTGCATCTTTTGGTACGGAAAGGAAAAGTTCCTCTTCCTTTAAAATAGGTAAAGACTTTTAGTTTAGCTACAAAAGTAGTTAGATGTAAGGGAGCCACAAAATGGAAGTGAGACAAATTCACAACACTAGAAAAAATAACAATTGGCTCCTGTATAGTAATCATAATAATAAGTAATAAACAATAAGTAATTGACTAGGCTCTTGTCTAATGAGCAAATGAAACCTTAATTAGAGACCAACCTGCATTAGGCAAATTAACAACATGCCTACCTGTATTTCAGCACTAGCTCGTAGTCCAAAACCTCCAATCCCAAACTTGGCAGTATCAACCTTATCTGCTTTAATTCCTTTACTTTTAGCCCATTTCATAAACGTAGCAAACCCCCGTGCATCCCTGTCTGGAGGTACAAATCCATAGGCTGGAATATATATAGGAAGTAGAATTAATGTTGTTGTTTTTATATAGAAACTTGAACATAATTCTACATTTGAAAATGTAGACAAGACACTTTTCACGTTAGAATAATTTTCTGTTCAATCATGTCTGCAAAAAATTCTGCCAGTATGTGACATAACTAAATGAAGGTCTGATGGTTTTGAACAGAGTATCATCGTTCATAAATATTTTGTGGTGTACTTTGAAGCATTAAATATCATGATATAAAAGTTCATAAATATCAGAATTTAAATATTTTATCTAGATGATAGCTTACTATATATAATATTTTCATATATTCTCCTGATGTAGTAACACATGAATGATTACAGGTTACCTTGTTCCTTGAGTCTTATTTGTTGAACAAGCTCATAGATGGAAACAAACTGTTCCCACTCTTCTTTCACAGAGTTTGGTGGCACTGTACACTCTGCACAAAATAATTGATACACAGAATTGTCACAGAACACTTTAAAGGTGCTATTGTAATGTAAACTAGAGGAAAACTATTAAAGGTATTTATTTTTTGATGACACAGTTATATAATAACCTTACTAAAGAGTGACACTCAACATCTATGTTTGATATACACTAAAACTGCACGGAGTAAGTAAGTGGATTTAGAAGTATATCCACAACTCTGCCAGCTACAGTTTAATAAGTGCCATGCAGGTAAATTTAATATATAAAAGTATCTCTGATAGTGCTTACTGCATTTCTCTTGTACATGACAGGAAATGAATATGAGAATGTCTTTGTCACTATATGTCAATTTACTAGTTAATTACAAAGGTGGACAAAATGACATTAGCTATAAGGTGATATATAAGACACCAACAGGTATTTCCTAAAATTATTGCCAAAGCAATTCTATACATAATTGCGAATATCTTACTAACAAGGGATTAGTCCAATGTGCCAGGATGACTGAAAATACCCGATTCGTAATCCACCAAATTAATCATAGAAATATTGGTCAACTACTCATATAGCTACTCTAGCTATGCCTCTTTTGCTTCATCTCATTTTACATTTACTCTGCCCACTGCTAATCTACTTCTGTCCTCTTCCCATGTTCCTTTCACAGGGAAAAAAAGAATAAGGGACAACTAGGGAAAGGAGATATGGAAGACAGTGAGAAAGGGGAGGAAGATAAAAAGAGGAAGACTGATTATATAAATATATATGTATTAGAAATAACACAATTTATATTAATTATTTATAACTATTGACCACACTTCTGACACATCTTAACTGACATCACCACAATACCAGGGTTCATAGTAGTAAGACACATGTTGAAATAAGGACTTATAAGACCCTTTCTGGAGGCAAAAATAAGACTTTTTTACGCGATTTCTGGTAGATCACCGACTATTAAAGTACACTAATAATATTTATATATACAATTGCACAGCAGATTTAATTATTTCGTTATATATACAACAATTCTAAGTCGAAAAAAGTTTATAAAACAATTTATATGAAATATTGTAGGTTGAAAAATAAGGACTATTAAGTACTTTTCTAAGATTTCACCAAAAAAAATAAGTACTAATAAAGGCCCTTATTTTATTTTTGGCAAAATAAGTACTTATAAGACTTTGGAAGACCCGCTACGAACCCTGAATACTGGCAAATTGAATTTTAGCAAAACGAATAGATTTTACCTGAATAAAAACTATTAAGATAGCCCAGTGATCTCATTATATGGAATGAATCAACACACGCTGTCTAAGTACCACACATGCACGCACGTGTGCGGGTTTGAAGATATTCGTTTAGACATTCACACTTACAGAAACATATTCAATTTACATACATAAAATATACAACATTATTACTATAAAATTTCTAGCCTTATTTGTAAACTTACTTTGCAATAACTGCTCAGCTAACTGCAGTACCTCTCGCCTAAGTGCGGGTGCAATTTTGCTCCTTACTGCTTTACGCCCCATGTCAACGAATGTACCTGAAACTATAACAAAATCGTTAATACGCCAACATTGTAGAAACGAATATTGAAGAAAATGTGTCGGAACCACACCCATCTGGATTTCTCTGCATCATGGATGATACTCAGAGATTTGAGACGTAAATTTTATTCAATGGCATATGTTGTATAATTAGTGCGGGTGCAATTGAGTGTACAAAAAATAGTGTACAACAAATGACATAGCTTTGCTGACTTTAATGTTATTAATATTGCTACACTTTATCTTTTGTTAGGTGAACATTACTTATACTGCAGAAAATTAATAGAGTTTATTAAAAAAAGAGGGTACTTCTTCCAAATATAAAGAAAACAAGTGCCGCAGAGCGACAGCGCTCAACTGACATGTACTATGTAGCCAGGTATTCTTCTGATAAACTCACTGGCAACCGAATCAAGTGTGCCCTCCCGCCACCGTGTTCACGCTCAGAGCATATATCTAGGATACTACTAATACAGATCTAAAATCTATGATAGGCTTTGCTATACCGGTAGTACAGTAATAAAGATACACCTGTGTAACTTTAATGACTTCACTATATTAACATGTTATCATGGATATGCGTCGAGCGCGGAGGGTGGGGGAAGGATAGGGGGAGGTGGGTGGAGGGGGCTCTAATAGCAAAAGCAGTTCAGTCCTTTGTTAACAGTCAACAAATCCGTGTTTATCCCTCCTCTTGAGGGTCAAAATGTAATCAGACACTTACTCTTCGCACGTCAGCGGAAAGCACATTTCATGGTCCTTTCAATAAAGTGATAAAAATGGTAGGTCAGCGCTGAAACAAAAAAGTTTTGCACTCGGTCCATTAGAAAATGTCTGATATCTGACCTTTCCCCCCACTGCACTTTGACCTGTGACCTCCAATTTCGCGCTGGTAATTGGTTTCCTCCCCATCACACTATACATCGAATATTAAGATGTCGTAATCATTAGGTCAAGCCGTTGAGATTTGTGCCGCAATTCCGTATTTCCTCCTATACCTTAAGTTAAGGGGGAAATATTCCCCCTCCATTGACACACCTTGACCTTTGACCCTTGACCCCCAAATTCGACATCCCAAGTCCTTTTCGCGATCCCCCCGACGTTCCGAATATCAAGACCGTACGTCGAGCGGTTAAGAATTGTGCCCAACTGTTGACGGACGCACGCACGGACGGACGGACGGACGGAGAATCATGCGATTCTACAAGCTGCATCTGACTTCGTCAGCTGAGCTAGGCCTAACTATCAAACGAGACTGAATTGGCTTATTTTACAATGTTCACATATTGAAAAGTATGGAAATCAAGATTGAAAATTTTTCATTTTTAATCAGATTTGATGCCTATAAGATATAACATATATAACAACGAGTCTTGGAAATAAACCCAGTCACTCCTTATTTCGAGAATTTTTATTTCTATGATATAAACTATAGTAACATCCACAAAAATTGGCTCTTACTGCGCAAAAGTTACCAATGCTACATTTTCAACACAGTGACAAAATTATTATATTATGGCGCCACCTTTTAACAACTAAAATCATTAAATTTAAATAAATTGTACATAAATAACCAAAGAAGAGATCTCATTTTGATTGGAGGAAGGGGCAATGCCAACGCCTGCGTGGAACTGACCCCCCCCCCCAGCTAACTATTAGAGGTGTAACGATACATTAAAGGCATGATCGATACGTATCTTAATACGTAAGTCACAATATGATACGTATCACGGATTCACGATACACAGACAGAGCGAGTCTGTCGAAATATACGGTCAATTTCTAATGTTATTTTATTGTTACAATATGTACTCCAATACTTTCATAACACAAACATATTATGAGTATGTCAAAGCCATATTCATATATAGTAAACAATCAGTTATTATAAATATATTTCTATGGCTAAAACACACCGTGAAGTGTTGAGTATGCTCTAGTCTAGACTGACCTGTAGTCGACAATAGAAGTGCACCACATATATTGACCTCCGATTTCTACGATACCCGGGGATATTTACGTGATACAGAAAGGCAGTTCATGAAATTAAAATAAAAGAATTCAATTTAAAAGTAATTACATATGCTTTCAGGGTGCGAAATTAACGGGAGTCCGGAGTCAAATACTCCCTGATTTACTGTCGAACTCCCTGATTTGACATATGCAGGAGTCCGTGTGACTCCCTGAAAATTCTGCTATACTAACAGTAAACTAGTTCGTTCCGGAGCCGTATTTTTTCAGCTAATGTCCAAAGAAAATTTGGCAGACGTGCAACCACATGAATCGTAAAAATAAGCACATGCGTTATTGTTAACATCTTTAATTTTGAACCTCAGACTGCGGACTCCCTCATTTTGCTGCAGACTCCCTCTTTTTGAGGGTAGGGAGTCCGTTGGACTCCTGCATTCAAAAGTTAATTTCTACCCCCGTGCTTAACATATATGCATATAGTTTAGCTTGCCTTATTCACTGTTTAACATCCGTATCGTTTGTGCCGTAACACGGACGCTGCATTTCGATTATTGCATCGTTGGCCGCTGCATGATTTAAAGATGCATCGGTCAATCGTTACACCCCTACTGATATCTAGTAGTCTTGGGCCAAAAATACAACTCTCTAATGCAATATAAATGGGAGTTACACAGAGTTCATTAATATTGTCAAACTGCTGGAGAATGCCGGTTAATCATAAGCAGGTCCGATGAAATTCTCAGTTTCACCGGACCGTGTCTCCTGCACTAAAGGTACCAGAGGGATTCAATAGAATAAGGAATCTGAAATGAACCATGGTAAGAAATGTCATAAGAAATATAGTCCTCCAAAATAGTCCTTGATGTTATATTGGGATATAACATAGTATATATTATTGTATGATGCATGCTAAATAACAACCAGCACGTACCAAATAACACTAAATGGCTTCAACAACATAATTATTATAGTTATAGCTACTAAAATATAACAACATTAAAATATGCTTAATTGATTCATACATATAACAAACATGTTTGACATGTTGGGAAAATTTTTGGTCTGGCAAAGTCTTCCGGTCTTGAAAAAATACCGCCCTACAAGATCGAATATACAGTAAAAATATAATCTACTAGCGTTCCCTGCTGGTACATATCTGAAAATCCCTCCAGGCATTATACGTTACAACAGAACATTCCTTTACCTCTTTTCTCAATGAACGTAATTGTGTTCATAACGTCTGCCTCCCAGGGGGGAGGGTTATATTGGGACAGGGTTAGGTTTTCAAGGTCCCCGAGGCGCCCCCTACCCAGTTCCGAGGCGAGTGCCACCCAGGGGTCTGGCTTGAAGCTTAGTATGAAGTGAGGCTTGTCTCAGATATTAAAAGTTTAGCATGTACACTTAACCAAAACTGTAATGTGCTACCATAAATGTAATACTATTACAATGAGCTATTCATAGTAGTTATTACTAATTGCTCATATTACATTCCCTCAGCGAGATTATTTTTTATAGAAATTTGTAGACAGACATTTTTTAGATTTTATTTTGCAAAAGTTACTTAGCTTTAAATATTTTACTGTTTCTTCAAATTTAGGGTTTTCTCTTTTTTTCAGTCACTCTTTCCTAGTCATATCTCATGCTGTGTATAATTACACAGTTCAGTGTATGTGCACTGATTGTTATCGTCTTGTGGAGGAGCATTTCAACAGCGTATTAGTAGTATTAGTAGTAATAGTACTATTACTAAAGCCCAAGTAATGGTCGCATATTATGGTTCATGGTATATGCTAGCTCGGGCACCAGTTAACTCAACCCACCCACCAATTTGTCTCGCATTGTGGCGAGTTTACCCGCCTGGAGGTCGGCCAGCTCGGCTTGTGGGTCAAGATGACCCCCATTACATAAAGATCGGGCAGCTCGACTCACGGGCTAACTCATTTGAGGTGTTTCACACACTCCGACGTGAGTGGTATGTAATTAGGCATTCTATTGGAGGCAATTTTAGTCGGACTCTAATTCTAGTAGCTGCCCCTGCCTGTCTATATAACATTAATGTAGCATTTTTGTGGGAATAACTTTCTATTATGCGTAGGGCATACTCATATAATAAATCATAATCAATAAACAGTCTGGGTGTGAAAGCTAGAGTGTATGAGTCGAGCTGCCGGATCTCCAGGCGAGTTCACTACGACTCCCCGCAATATGTTTTTGCAAATGTGCTAAACTAATCTGGGGTGTTAAACTAGGCTTGGGCCCCGTTAGCTCTACCGCCCGGTGTAGCCCCTTCGTTCTAACTACTACCAGTACTATACTACTACTAGTACTACTAGTACAGTACTACAGTAGTACAGGGGCCCTGGCTGTAGCAGGACTTTGTGCCTTGTAGGGAAAGTGAATGGGAAACACCAGTAGAGCTACGTATATGTGTGCGTCTCCACGGGTATATATGTGTCCAGTATAAAAGTAGAAGAAGAAGAAGTGTATGGGCGTCTGTGTGTGTGCGCGCGCGCGTGCGTGCGCGTGCAGCCAGCCTGTCCAGCCAAGTCGTCTTTCGACCGACTAGTCACTCTAGTGTCAGTTGTGGCTGTAATAGCCAGTTCCTTACAAGTATATGTCATATGAAATGCAAGTGCATTATTCCTTATCGCCAATACCTACCTTGGCTTAAGAAGTACCACACTAACCAAATATTTGATAAAATTTGTCTCCCTACATTACAAAACCAAAACTAGAGCGGGCGCAGCCATTCCTTACTCTGCTGCCATCTATGATTATTTGGACAAAGCCAATTAAATGTGCTGATTTTGTGTTTTTTTATACTTGTACATTGTTGTATCACCGATTAAAATTTTATTAACACCACTGGGATAAAGAATTCTGAAATATTATTTCTTTGGAGTTTAATCGTAGTAATCGCATATCAGCATATTTCACCTCTGCACCGTGCAGAGTAGCGCGACCGTGCAGAGCACGGCACGTGCGAGAAGCGCCCTACCACAGGCACTTGAAGACCTTGAAGCGTTGCAATAAAATATAATGCTAACTAAATACGAAATCTATTTACTTAGTACAAAATTCTTAATGTTTGTATACTATAGCCAGGCCTACTCTCTTTCACCTACGGCTACACCGCCGATAGTTTCCAACCACTGCATTACCGGCTGCCATTGCTCTCGCGGCGCGACTGTTGCACGCTTGCACTAATATATATAGATATAGATATATATAGATAGATATAGATATATACAGTGGCGTACGCAGGATTTTCGAAAGGGGGGTGTTAGGAGCACGCGAAGGGGGGGTCTGGGGAATTTTTTGAAATTAGCACCCCTCAGATGCGTTTTCTGCGCGAGCATGGGGAGGTCCTCGACCCCTGGACCCCCCCCCCTGTACGCCCTTGGAACTGTAGACTTGATTACGCCGTGGTGCGATTGCACTGACGGGTTGTGGTCGGGGGTTAGATTCATGATTCATCAAGCTGGTACGCAAAATGATTGCGTAAATCTTGTGTGCGTAGCAATCGACCGTTTGCTTAGCTGGGCGATTTATCAACGCAGTTATTGTGTACAATTTGCGTACGATTCGGTACGCAGCGAGGCCGCGAGCTTTAGGTGCGATTCATAAAGCTGAAATTTATCGTAACCTTGCGTAGGAGTTGTATGTTTCTCAGCAGAAGAGAGAGAGAGAGAGAGAGAGAGAGAGAAGAGAGAGCAGATGGATGAGAGAGAGGTGCGTGGCGCGCGCGCGTTGTTGTGTGTGTGTTGGTGTGGGTTGTGTGTGTGGTGTGTGGTGAGGAGAGACGAGAGAGGAGAGAAAGGGGTATGTGCGTGTTTGTGTTGTGTATGTGACATGGAGAGAGAGAAGAGAGAGAAGAGAGAGAGAGAGAGAAGAGAGAGAGGAGGGAGGGGCGAGGGGAGGCGAGGGAGGGAGGAATGCGAGGGAGAGGAGGAAGAGAAGAGAGAGAGAGAGGGGAGAGAGAGAGAATACGGCGCGCGAGCGAGAGGAGAGAGAGAAGAGAGAGAGAGAGGAAATATGAGCGGCGCGAGCAAGAGAGGAGAGAGAAGGAAGAGAGAGAGAGAGCGCCGCTCGAAGGAGAGAGAAGATCGAGTGAGAGATGAGAGCAGAAGAGAGAGAGAGAGGAGAGAGAGGGGACGCGAGAGAAACAGAGATAGTGTCGACTGGTACTCTGCTGCGTCGCGCGCCGCGCGTGTGTGTGTGAGAGACAGAACAGCGGACGACTCTCGACGAGACGGGATGACGCTTGGTACCCAGGACGCGCTGGCGCGGCGTCCCAGTCCCCGCACGCGGACCGGCTAGCAGGAGCTGTGCGTGATTGTTGCCTGTCTGTGCTGTGTGTGTGGGCCTGTGTGTGTGGATGTGTGTGTGTGGCTTGTGGTGTGTGTGCGTGCGTGAGAGAGAGAGAGGTGTGCGTGTTTGTGCTGTGTGTGTTTGTTTAGTGAATCAAAGTACTTATCCATATTACGTACACTACAGACAGTCGACAAACGTGCATAGGCCTACACTAGCTATTATAAAAAGCTGCATTTGATAGCTAGAGTAGATGCAGTAAAATCGGTGAAATTTCTGAAATCTCACGATGTAAACAAAGTCAAGTCTATGAACATAAATATGTGTTGCGTGCAATCCAATTCTGCCCAATCTACGAATCTGCCGACTGTGTCTTAGCCTCATTGAACTGTAGCACCTAAAACCCACGCTGATAAACCTGTCTGGTAAATCGGGATCCTCTTACCTCTTCTTCTTCCTTCTTTCTTTTTTTCTCTCTTTTTTTGAATCTCAGGGGGGATATTTGTACAGGCCATCCCCCCTCCTTCAAGAGCAGGGGGGATGCATCCCCCTATCCCCCCCCCGGGATTTACGCCCGTGTTAGTGACTGCGGAGCGTCATAGCGCATAGCGCAGCCGCATAGCGTAGCGCTGCACGGAGCGGAGCGGGGATGCGGGGTGCTCGAGGGGGGTGTCCACCCCTCGAGTTTGAAAGAAAAACGCCTAAAAATACCGCATTTCCTTGCACATTTTTCTGTATTATATCATATTTTACTTGTTGTTGTTTCATTAAAATCATCATGATTTTGGCAGAAGAAAAATTTGTCATCATACATTCCTTGGGTACTCACATCATTTATTGGCGAATGTATTGAGTATGAGAGCGAAGATACTTATAGTTACGACATCGCGATTCGCGAGCATGCAGCAGATCGATTTTGGGGTTCTCTATCTCATTTCATTGTAC